AATAAAGTAAAAAAAGTATATTTAAAATTCAAAAATTCAAAATTAAATTTAAAATTAAAGTGTGATTATAGTCGCAATACAAACCTTAACAAATTAGTTTTCTGTCACTCTGCCTGAAAATTAACAATTTTTGTACTTTTTGACTTTCTGGATAAAAGTTCTCATGGGGCAAAATTACTCCTAAAGTTTTATTTCATCGTCATATATATATATATATATATATATATATATATATATATATATATATATATATATATATATATATATATATATATATATATATATATATATATATATATATATATATATACATGGTGTAAGTGTTTAGGAAGAAAGATAATTCATTTTCTTGGAGAAACATCTTCTCCAAGTTTACGTTTTCGAAGTTTAAAAAAATGATAGTTTTTGTACACTTTTTGCGTAGTATTAATTTTATGTAAATCAAGGCTTATGCCATAACTAGCGGCGTAGTTATGGCATAAATCGAAGGTACGGTGATATTCTAGCTAGAGTTCAACATACAACGTGGTATATGAAGTATGAGAACTTTCACTCGACTTGTATAAACTAATACTAGCTTAGTCTCGTGTCAGGTACTTTCAATATCGTCTTAACCCAGAATAATTGATATGGTAATTCGGAAAAACGGATTTCAATTTTTAATTGCCCAACGTCTATTGAGTCGCAAGATTTGTTATTCAAATTGGTTAATAAGGAAGGACGGGTAATAAATTTATTTCTTTTTCAGTCTGGACAATTCGATTCCCGCCACACTCATTTTCGTTCGGCGATGTACCGTTATTGGCCTTAGTTAATACTTTTTTGTATTTTTTTACTTTGGACAAGCTGACATTACCCTTAAAAACACCAATCACAGCCTTTGTGGGGAGGTATATAAAATACCTAATTATACACTGATCTCGCTTGCGGAAAGCGTCACTTTGCCTCGTGAGTTTCTTGTCCCGCGGACATTTCCGGGATATTACAACATGGGTTTGGGGGTAATCGCCTGTTTTCGGAGATTTTACCGCACGCCTTGAATTTTGACATTTGTTAATTGTGACGCTCGTGTCGGTGAATATATTCGTGTTGTTTTGCAAAAATGTACTCAAACACTAACGCTGCGCTCCGCTATTACAAAATTAACTGAAAGAAATGATCCTTGCCAAAATATCAAACTAACGAAACAAGTTATTTTGCAAGACCACCCAAAGCCAAAAAAATTAATAAAGCTGCCGAAAAATATTACTACTTTAACAATAATAAATAAACAGAATAATAATAAAATTACTGGATGGATACAATCACTTTATACCAGAATACTAATAGAAAAAAAAAAAGAAAATCTTGATTCAAAAACATTGCTAAATGTTTTCTATATAAATTTAAAACACTGATAGTATTTCCATTAGTACTGAAATTTCCGCATTCATTACGTTACTCAGCGAATGCACTTGTGCTCTTTTGCAAAAAAGTGCAACAAGTTTATAAATCTCATAAGACAGTCGCTTATTAAACATTCGCTACGCTCGAGCCAAAACAAACTCGTGACTAAAGTGTCGTTGCATAATATACCATTAATCGCGATTTTCAAACTAAAAAAACAATTCTTGGGAAAAAAATCTTTATTTATAAAACGATGTTTTTCGACAATCACTAAAAAAATTATTGGTTTTGGAGATTTTGACCGATAAATGTTTGTGGCGCAACAATCCTTAAATTTATATATTACCCAAGTGCCAAATACAAAAATTTATAAAAACTCATACATTGAGGAAGCTTTTAGCAATTGTCTGCTAAGTGAGGTATCTGGTTCTATAATTTATAATTATTGTTTTCACAAAAGTGAATCGTTAACCTTGCTGTTGCTCTAATTTACAACGCCATATTTCATTAATTCTGATGTGTTTGAAGTTTGAATTCATGAATTGGAGTAGGTATGGTATGTCTCAAAACATATCGTCTAGTCTTTTGACGAAAATTATCGAATAGTCTTCGGACAGCAATAAAACACCTGACCAGTCCGTATAGGAAAGAGGGACAATTTTTAAAGGTGTTTTAAAAATATAAAGAAGCGGATGTTACTTAGGTTTAATAAAATCGAATTATTACTAATCAAAATATTCGATAATACTTATTTAAAATTTCTAGTTTTTCAAGACGAGATTAGTTACAATGGACATTTTTACAGCTCTGAACCGAAATAATATTAATTACATTTTTAATTAAATTTATCACTCGGGCTTTAAATAGGAGTGACATTTCCTGCTTTCACATTTGATTTTACTTGATATCACAAATATTATATGAGGACAAATATACAATGATATAAAGGAATAGTTAAAACAGTATGCTCTATGTGTTCAGCTAAACTATCAAGTATAATTCAACAAATTTCAAAAGTTAGCCTTTTGCGTATACGATTTGAAAATAAATAACATTTTATAACAAATATTTTTGACTTCCAGTGTTTGTGCTTGATGAATGGGATGCTTTTTGAAGCAGGCAGCTATGAAAACTTGATTTATCTATTAAAACGACACTTTTATCCGACATCTTTTTTAAAAGTTAAATTGAAAGCAGTTTTAAAAAATTCTGACCTTGTATCTTCAGGACAGTGCAAGCTAGAGTCCGTAATACTTTTCTGTTAACTTCAACCAGTAAGAGTGGCAATCTGGACTCGTCGTCCTCCAGAATAATGAGGTCGTCGGCGAACGCCATTATTGGACACTTGACGTCGCCGTTAGTGTCAAGCGATCCACCTATGTTTCCTCTGGTGGAGAGTGTCCAAATAAGTTCTTCCAAAACCATATTAAATAGTAATGGACTCAGGGGATCGCCCTGTTTAACACCTCTCGTTATTTGTATTTTTTTGGTTTGTTTGGCCCCAACTTTGATCGAGGTGTTGGAGCCAGTTAGGCCGCCCATTATTAATTCGAAGTATGCGGTCGGAATACAGTTCGCATCTAGGGCCCGGCGGATGGAGTGGTGGGACACTGTATCGAACGCCTTCCTGATGTCCAGGGACAGAATGTTGAATGGTTTCCGGGTGTCTGTCCTTTGGGCGATGTAGTGCCCCAGGATTAGTGAATTGGCTAATGTGCCATCCACATTCACGAAGCCACGCCGGCTTGCGTGTAATTTCGTGGCCCTCTTTAGTCTGTCCGCCAATACACGATGGAGGAGGCGCTGTAGAGTGGAACTAATCGTTATTGGCATCCAGTGGGTTGGGTCCTTCCTATCACCCTCTTTGGGGACAAGGACCGTCCTTGAGGCCCTCCATGCGGCGGGGATGATATTTCGCAGGAGGAGGGAGTTGAATAATATGGCCAGATTTAAGTCAGGTTTATTCTTTACTGACATCACTGTGATGCCGTCTGGTCCTTGGGCGAAGGGTGACCAGTTTGTTTTCAGTCTCCCTACTTCCTCGGGCGTAATCGTGGCGTCAAGGATGTTTCGGACGCAAGGCTTGGGCTCGTAGGCGTGGTCGTCAGGGGGAGACTCCGACCCCAGAATCCCCCCGTACAGCCCCTCGACAGCCTCGACGGTTGGTATGTCACCGACCGCTTCCAGCCCCCTATCAGATAGAATCGCTTCAGCCAAGGCAGGGCGACTCTTCAGATATAGATCCTGAGCTTTTTTGTAATTTGCCGCCATAGGATCCCGGCCAGGCGTAGTTTGGCCGTAGTGCCTCACCGGTTTCTGCCCACGTGAGGGGGGGGGGCTGGTACGCGTCGGGATGATCTCCTCATTTGTGCGACCCCGTATGTTTGCTTGAGCCCTCATTTTAAAATTGGCGGACAGCCAGTTGTCAATAGACATCGTAAATTCTGCGGCGTCCACCGTAAGGGCTTTCCTGATTAAGTCTCTGTCAGCGGCTGGAGAAGTAGTCCCGACAAATACTCTCGAATTAACGGGAATCCTTCTATATTGACCGAGGGCGACTCATGGAGAACGTCCATGGCCTCAACGTGGCCAGGGGGGGTTGAGAGAGTCGCCGTGCTGGCGGACGCGGTGGCCTCTAAGGTTGACTTAAGCCTTCTACTCGCTGATGGAGCTGGCGCTCTTGGGGAGTCCCACCTGAAAGAGACCTTTTTCTTCGCGAGTGTCGAGGGCGCCTCGTCGTCCGAGTCGCCTCGCGACCTTTTACTTGTCACCAGTATAGACTTTGCAATCCTCAATATCGGAGCCCCCTTTGATGTGGTAGGTAGGTACCGAGGTAGACCAGCCCGAGATGGGGCCGTGTCCCGATGGCTGGCTACCAAAGACAGAGGCAGGGCTGTCGGGTATCTCCAGGACATCTAGCCGGTCATGCCCTGAGAGAATCGATGGTCGGATTGGGGGTACGATAGTTGAGTGGGAGTCGTGGTATAAGCATTTGGGGGAAGGGGTGGGGGACGACGTTGAAGGTTTGTCATTCCACCCGCCTGATGAAGGCTGGCTTGTAGGCGCTTGGACAGTGGTAGCCGAACTGGTGGCACTGGAGGAGGAGGCCTGATCGCGACCATTTCCGGCGCGGTCCTCCGGGGTAGATAAGGGAGTACTTGTAGGGGCGGGCGGAGGAGTGGCGTTTTTCGTTATAGATAGGATGCTGGGGCCTGTCTTGGCGAATGGATTAGTGGCCGTGCCAGCGATTGAATGACGACGGAGTCTTATCTCACTCCGCGACAACGAAAAGTAGTTTAAAGTACATCCTCTTCTGATTCTGCGTGATGCGCTTTTCTTAATTTGCAGTGATTATTCTTTATTATTAGTTTTAAAAATTTTTTGTTTACATTATCTAACGGGCGTAAGAGGTTTTCCGTTGTAAAACTAAAACTAACGCTAAATGTTGAGATCACAATTTAACATGTAAAACACAAAAAATAGATTCTCTTTCTAATGACATCGTATGTATACATATATAAAGATGCAGCAAATTATTTAACGCGCGTAATTGTCTGACCAGTGAAATAAACAATTTAATTACACTGGAAAACCTTCGGTACCTAATCAAAATAATGGTTTCAAACTCAGTGCTAAAGAAAAATCGAGTATGCATTTACTTATATCAGACGTTTGGATTGCCTTGGCGGTAATTTTGCTCACTGTGGCAGTATGTTTTCCCGTTTGGAAATTTTACAAAAAGCGAAAGGAGTTGGCGAAAGCTGTGGATGCATTTCCTGGTCCGAGATGGTATCCTCTAATTGGGACTAGCTTGGAATTAGTTATGACGTCAAGAGAAGGTGAATTAGGGATTTACTATTTACCTCACTTTACTTGAATTTTAACTTTAACTTGGCCTATAATTCAACACCAACATTTTAATAACATAATTAGTTGCATACAGTTTCATTTGATGCTAATCTAGACATCAATGTAAGTAATCGTATTTACAGAAAGATGGAACCTAATTAAAAAATGGTATCAAGAGTACCCTCGTGTGATGCGAATGTGGATAGGATTTAAACCCATGATCCAACTTTCAAAGCCTGAACATCTTGAGGTGAGTTTTATATTTTTTGACTGATGAATTAATCAAAGAACTCCAAGTCTTCAAATTACAAATACTATTTTGAAGTAAACAGATCAAAATTAACATAATTAGTTATGTTTTGTTGAATTTACTTTATACACGGTATAGAATGAAATGCATATCTTTTACCATATTGTTTTCAGATCATATTTAAAAGTCATGTCAATATAAACAAGGGAATGACATACCAGTACTTGATGCCATGGTTAGGGGGAGGATTAATTACTGCCGCAGGTGGGTTCCTAAATTTCGATGAAGTCGTAGAGTATTTTGAAAATCATCGCTACTCTAATTAGTGTCCCGTGTAAAACATGTTATTCAAAATTATTTCGAAACACTGTGCATCCTTTTAACATTAACCAACAAATCTTCTTATTCTGACTTTTGGTAGCTGCCGCTATTGCGGAAAAGTTATGGAAATTCCTGTATAAAGGAATTGAGTATGGAGAAATTATTTCAATTTAAGGTGAGAAATGGAAAGAACACAGGAGACTTTTGACTCCCGCCTTCCACTTTAAAATTTTGGATAAGTATTCGGAAATATTTTCTGAAAAAGCTAGAGAATTAGTGGAAATATTTAAAGAAAAAGTTAATGCAGGACATTTTGACGCCAGTCCATATTTTACCAGATGCGCGTTAGATATTATCTCAGGTGAGAAAGTTTCGTTAGATCTACTTCCAAAAGAAAAATATAAGGGGCCATTCTTTATTATAAATAATTGCTTTTTAGAAACTGCCATGGGTGTCAAATTCAATTCCCTAAAAGATCCAACTTCTGATTATGCCAATGCTATTTTTGGGTACGTAAGTATATTGGAAAAGGATGCTAATGTTATTTCAACTTTAAAAATTCAAACCATGAAGTCTCATACGTTTTCGAATTGATTCCAATTAATTCATGTGGTAAATTTTGGGTCTCAATTTGCATTTAATCGAATTATTAATTAGTTATTAAATTAATGACTTAATCATCTACAAACTGCAAAGCGACAATGAGAAAGCTATGTTTAAATAATGACTGAACAATTCGTATATCATTAATATTGGATTTTTCTTCATTCCATTTTTTTAAGTTCTTTATTGGCAAGGATGTTTTATCAAATGTTGTTTATCATTTATTTATTGCTCAAAAATGGGAGAGAAAAACAGGATTGTTGATAATTTTTGTTGCCAAGGTTGTGTGAAATAGTGGCTATTCGAGAAAGCAATCCATTCTACGCTATTGACATAATTTTCAACTGTAGCAACGATGGAAAAAGATATTACAAATATTTGAAAACAATTCAGGAAACCACGTATAAGGTAAGTTGGTTATCATACTCATATTCCAACCTCACTGTAATAAATACCGGCAATTAATCAATCAATTAATACTGGCAAAGTTGCTGATTTCATTACTTAACATTATGTCATTAAAAATCATAACAGAAATGGGTGTACTGGTGTTATTGGGATAGCTGACCACCTGTTTTTAGATAGTATCCGATCGCCGAAAGAAATTTCAGAAACATGGAACTGAACAAAACGTCGATGAACTTGGCAGAAAAGAGAAGCTAACGTTTTTGGATATTCTGCTGGTCAATGAACAAGAAAACAAATTTACGGATAAAGAAATTGCCGATGAAGTGAACACTTTTATGTTTACTGTGAGTTGCATGCGTACAATTTCAACCGCATAGTTCCACGAACATTTCGCAGCACAAGGTCTTAAAATTAAAAAAAAAAACTTGAGGGGTCTTTAACGTATCTAATTTATTGTGAGAATTTACAATACATCATGCTGTTTTAATTTCAAAAAGTTTTTAGTTTTAATTTTAAAAGCAAACAAAAATTTTTATATATCGTTTCTATATCGGGGGAAAAAATGTCTCCATATCGTTTCAATTCCAAATTTTCTCTAATTTATACTTTTAAGGGTCAAGATACTACTGCCTCTACAGTAATGTATACGCTTCTGGCTTTAGGAAATTACATGGATATTCAGGTAAACATAACCATTTTGCGAAATGAATTTCAATTGGCTTTGTTCTGGCAACATTTCAGGCTAAAGTACAAGAAGAGCTAGACAACATATTCAACGGTGAAGACAGGTCTATTACCCCACAGGATATTGCGGAGATGGAATACTTAGACAGAGTCATCAAAGAAACCTTAAGAAAGTTTACGTTCGTTCCTGGTGTTGCTAGAGTTTTGGATAAAGATATTGTAATCGGTATGATTTTACATTATTTTTACAAATTAATCAAAAAATAAATGCTTTTAGATGGACAACGTATACCAGCAGATGTAAGTCTTCTGCTGTCACTATATAAATTGCACCACGATCCCGATTATTGGCCAGATCCAGACCGTTTTGATCCTGACCGCTTTCTACCCGACGCTGCCTCTAAAAGACACCCTTATGCATTCGCGCCATTCAGCGCTGGTTCGCGAAATTGCATTGGTAATGTAGACTCCAAAATAATCTGAGTTTCTTATTGGCACTAAATTTGCGTAATACATTCAGAGTGTAATGTTCGTCTAGATAAAAAATTAATGATCGATGTATCGATATCGATCGATATTGTTTCGTAATTCCCGTTTTAATAGTATTTTATGCACCTTTTTCCTCGACCGATAGTTTTTGGGAATATTTTTGCAAAACAATACATTCACTGACATGACCGTCAGAATTAACACACGTTAAGATTCTAGCCGTGCGGTAAAATCTCCGAAAATATACGAAGTGACTCGGATCTGTGGGAAACGAAACTGACATCGTAAAATAACAGTTTCTGCACGCTAGGTCGGTGAATAACTGGGTATTTTATAGAAGGAAGTAGAAAATAGTAGCACAAAAACTGAAAGCCAAGAACATTTGTTATTAAATGTTTCTTTTCAAATCGGGTACGCAAAAGGCAAACTTTTGAAATTTGTTGAATTATATGTGATAGTTTAGCTGAACAGATAGAGCATACTGTTTTACGTCTTCCCCTACATCATTGTATATTCGATCCCATATAACATTTGTGATACCAAGTAAAGTCAAATGTGAGAACAGAAAATGTAACTCCTAATATTATTTCGGTTGAGAGCTCTAAAAATGCAGTACTGTCTGTAACTCTTTTCTATATCGACTGGTCAGGTGTTTTATTTATTGCTTTCCGAAGATTATTTCGATAATTTCCGTCAAAAGACTAAACAATATGTTGTGAGACATACCACACCTATTCCAATTTATGAATTCAAACTTGTTATTGAGGTAGTAATAATATCAACAACACATTTTATTTTAATGAAACATGGCGTTGTAAATTAGACCAAAGCAAGGTTAACGATTCACTTTTGTGAAAATAATAATTATAAATTATAGAACCAGATACCGCACTCAGCGAACAATTACTAAAAGCTTTTTCGATGTACGAGTTTTCGAAAAACATTATCGCTAAATGTGTTTTTATCAATTTTTGTCTTTGTCACTCTTTGTCATTTAAGGATTGTTGGGCCACAAACGTCTATCGGTCAGAAACTCCAAAAACAATAAATTTATATTACAATTCATAAGTAAATTGAGGACAGTTTGAAGGTCCATTTTATGAAATTTGTTACAGATATTTTGGATATTTTTAGAAATTGTCGGAAAACGTCGTTTTTAAAATCAAGCTGCCTGATATCTGTTAAATGGCCCTGCAAATATTTTTTTGGCAGTTTTATAAACTTTTTGGATTAAAAAAACCTTTGGGTCATCTTGCACAATAACTTGTTTTGTCAGTTTAATATTTTGACTATTTCAGTAAATTCTATAATAGTTTATTATGTATAACGTGCGGTAATAGTATATTATAAAAAAAGTGCGGTGAACGGCATTTGACTCACGAGTTTATTTGACACGAGCGGAGCACAGCGAGGCGAGTGTTTAATAAACGAGTGACTTCCAAAGTTTACCGAACGTGTTTCATACTATACTGTTTCTACGACCGTTATTTCTTGGGTAAATTTTCGCAAAACAACACAAATACATTCACTGACATTACCGTCAGAATGAAAAAACTTCAAATTTCAAAGCGTGGGAAACTTCTCCGAGAACATCCGATTGCTCCCAAACTCGCGCAGTAAAATCCCGGCAATGTCCGAAGTGGCTCGGAACCGTGGGAAGCGAAACTAACTTGTGCAAAATGACGCTTCCCGCACGCTAGATCGGTTTGTAATTAGGTATTTTACAGACGGGAGTAGAAAAAAGAATCGACCGTTTCATACCTCCACACAAAGGCTGTAATGGGTGTTTTTAAGGGTAATATCAGCTTGTCCGCAGTAAAAAAGTAACAAAAGTACTAAGTAAGGCTAATAAAAATGAGTGTGGTAGGAATTCATTGAATTGTCCACACTGAAAAAGAAATAAATTTATTGAAAATGTTGTGTGTATCATATTGCCGGTTTTAAATTATTCTTACCCGTCCTTCTTTATTAAACAATTTGAATAACAAATCTTACGACTCAATAGAACAGACGTTGGAGTGATTACTATATTTCAGCTGCTATCGGAACTTGAAAATAATTGTTAAATTGGTATAAAACAGAACCGGCGAGCGGAACAATTAACGAGAAATGAAAAGATTCGTCAGCGATATTATTCGTGTTCGAAACTGCGCATAAGATATCAAATTTAATCCGGGAACGGGGAGTGGAAAATCTAAAGGTAAGCGAAACCCCTAAAAGAGAAAGATTTCACAGCTTACCACGGGGTTTAAAATAATAAATGTCAGCCACGCGTTGCGATATATATAACAAGTTTGTTAAGCTACTTAGTCGCGCTTTTGGCCAGGGGGCTGCAGATTTATTGCGTAAAAGTTTAAAATTTATGTATTTACCTTTTGGGGTAAAAGTAATTAGGTTTTAATGTCCATAAATGGTTTCGCAAATATGCACCGTTATATATCGGGTATCATTTTCACAACCGTTTTTCCGAATTACCATATCAATTATTCTGAGTTAAGACGATACTGAAAGTATCTGGCACAAAACTGAGATAGTATTAGTTTATAGAAGTCAGGTGCACTACTGGAGTGAAAGTTCTGATACTTCATACACCATGATTTAGGTCGAACTATAGCTAGAATGTCACCGTACCTTCGATTCACAATATAACTACGCCGCTAGTTATTATTGGCGCTCGATTTGTATAAAAAAAATTAGTTCAATTGAAAAAATATCGTTTTTTAAACTTTGGAAACGTAAACTTGGAGAAGATGTTTCTCCTAGAAAATTCGTTACCTTTGTAACACTTACACCTTTCACTTTTGTGCTGTCTTACAATCGTTTAGGAGTAATTTTTGCTCATGAGAACTTTTATCGACGGCCCACGTGGTAAAGTGACGTTTTCCGCACCCTAGATCGGTGTTTAATTAGGTGTTTACAGAAAGGAGCAGAAAAAAGAATTTTTTGGAGTTTTATAGAGCTACTGAATACTAAAATTAGATAATTTGTGTTTGTTAACAATTGATTTTCCTAACAATCGTTGAATCGTGGTTACAAGTCGGCAGCAAACCCCCTTACGAAGAAAAATTTCTTGAAGCTAAGATTGGCGGACTATGTAATAAAGGCGGATACTCGAAATTTTCTAAATTTATCATTGGAGTGAATACATTATACACCGATGAAGTTGCTGCTATCCTATTATCTTTCTAAAAGACTCACAGAGATATCCACACTTACAAATACCCTATCTTTTTTTTCAAGGATTTATTTTGCTATTATATGAAAGTTTATAGTTTATGTAGTTTATTTATTCAGTCAGCAGTCCAGTTTTTCGCACGTGATGGATATTGGTTTTGTTTGAGATCGTTTATTTACGAATAGAGAAAAACACTATACGCGCCTAGAATCACGTTAACTCCTGTTTTTTAGGCCAAAAATTTGGAACAAGAAACAGCAAGACCATATTAGCAGCAATTCTGAGAAAATTTAAAGTTAAGTGTTTAGAAGATCCAGAAACCCTTCAGGAATATACTGAGATAGTGCTTCGGCCACAGAATGGACTTCACTTGGAATTGGAATTAAGGAAGTAAAACTAGTTTTTTTAATAATAAAAAAAAATTGATTTGATTGATATTTCAAAAGCCACATAGCATTAGACAAATTGATAATATAAATTACTTTAATTCCTTCATTTGTACTGATTTATATTATTATAATTTAAAGAAAATAATTAAATAAATAATAATGAAAATGTTGTCCTCAAACGGGTTTCGGTAAACAAGTCAAGTCAATCGTGAGATATACGATTGTTTTAATTGTCTGTTATATAGTTTGACCTGTTGCTTTCATTAAATTTTAGTTCACTCCTGAAGAATTCAACAAATAAATTGTCAAATTGTCGAAATATTGAGTGTTAAAGAAAAAGGAGCTTTCTATTTTTTGTTTTTTTAACCAAATATTGTCTTATTAAGCAGAGTAAAACAAAACATCCGCAGAGACTTTTTTGGAGCAACATATAAAATTTTGTAGTAGTTTTATAAGCGGATAGATTTTTTCAGAATATATTAAACAATACATTTTACGGTGATAAAAAGAGCATACTTTATCGAACGCTAATGCAAATCTGTGGGAAAATGGTTAAATCAAATTGACACCTTTTGAAACTGATGTCTCTCCTTTTTACATGCTTTTAATGTCGAAAATCCCTTAAATGCCGAGTTAGGCAATATAGGACTAGACTTCTCCTAGATTATTTAAGGGAAGCCAACGATCCGCTACCAGCCAGATCAACCAAAAAATAACTAATAAAAAATCAACTATCGAAGCTGCTCAAAATCCAACCTAACCAGTGCTTTCGAAAAATCCAGACTATCTTCGTCTGGTCGTGTTCCGTTCGCTTCAAGAAAATGGCATTGGTCCAAGGTCCAGAGTATTTTTTCCACAACGCCAAAAATGAAACATGGGAGAATAGACAACTTAAAGGGCACCAAGATGTATTATTGCATTTTTCATTTCTGAGGAAAATTTTAAATATATATTATAGTATTACGTCTTTTGAGATATTACTATTAATATTAATATTTCCTGACCATAACATCAGTCATTGTTTCCTATCCGAAATTCTGCATAATTACAAAATTGTGTTTTTTGCAGAAAAAGATTTATTTGGAAACATCGATAATTACCAATACCGCGAGGTTAGAAAAAATAATTATTTCAATGAAAATGAAAAAAACAGTCCAAATCCCTCTTTCTCGCAACTCTCAACAAACTGTGGTATAAGAATGGAAAGAAAAATGAAACAATCATTGCAGGCGGTTACCCTTTTTGCTGCGTTTAATGTTACATATATGAGCAATTAGCAATATAAAATATAAATATTTTATTATACTTTAATTACTTTACTTTACTTAAAATAAAACTTTAGAAACACCATACCAAAAAAACAACTTAATAAAATATATTTTATTGTCTCCCTACAGTAGAAGAATTCTGAATAGCCAAGTTTGTCGGTACGAGATTTTCAATAGCTGAATCTTTGACAACACAACCAAAGGAACCTTTCCGCACATTTTCTATAGAGGCGAATATTATCCCCTCTTTAAGTTATCGCATTCGCTTTGTCGGGAAATTTCATTAATTAATAATCCGCTTAATAAGTGCTAGGCGCTGCACCTAACGCAGACAACGACATCGGGGAAGACAGTGCCTGAGAATTATTATTCGCAACGCGTGTGGCTCTTAGGAATATAAAATCAATAAGCGACTATTCACGTACTTTTCCGCATCACTACTTCGCTTTCGGAAGGTTAATTTTTATGGCGGTAATGTCCTTCCGGAACGTTCGGGTTTTCTTTTTGCCCGGGCATCGAAAACTTGATTGGCTGACGCTAATTAAGGCACCAAAGTCAACATTAATTGGCCGAATTAGGTTCGCAGACGCGGAAGTTGGATTGATAGGTACGTGTATGCATACAGCCGAGTCAATACGATAAAATAATTACCTACACGAAATTATGGCTGATTACGTTCTATTTTCCGAAAAAATATACAGGGTGGCACCGCAGTGGATCCGCCTCTTAGATGTATCCGGAAAACGAACCAAAGGAAGTCTTCAAATTAACCTCTCCATGAGCATCCTGTCCCAATGGGATATCCCAACACAAACTTGTCGATTTGTCCTCGAAAACAATAACTATAAAAATTGGAAATTAATAGAATATTGTCAAAATGGCGGCACTCCTGTTACATCGAGAATGGATGGCAACTTGCTTTTTTTACACTGAACATCTTATAAATGTCAGAGACCACTGACACACTGGTATAAATTTCAAGAAAATAGCAATGAGGATTGTGCTAACTTTGTTTTACAAATTAAACAATTAAAAAAATACCATTAGTCCAGGAGAATTTTGAACATAGTTGAAATATTCAACATAAAAAAAATTGTTTATAAATAATTTTAAAAGACAATATTCTCATGTAGTAAATATAATCTATATTAAAGAATAAAGACGAATATATTCCCTATAGGTTCAAATTAGTTTTAGTATTAGTTAAGGGTTATATTAGATTATTAAACCCAATATAAATTAATTTTTACAATTTTTCAACAGAATGTCGTAGACACAATGAGTTTCAGTCTCAAAAAATCATACTTCACTTTTCATTTCGAAAAATCTTCATATTTTTTCCTTTTTTTCATTGTTCTCCATTCAAATGTGTCATTGTGTATAGTTACACAACAATATTAGCGTTTCTAACTCTACTGAGAATACAAAAGTTGTCGATGGGTGGATAGCACATATTATAATACATTCATCATTCATTTATAGCAGTTTTGTTGATTTTAATATATACATTATATATTATTTGTTATTTGTACCACTAAATTTAAGGGATTTTATTGTAGTCCACGTAACTAAATTCGAGATTCACTAACACATATTCCGTTGTAGCCAGTTTGTCGATTATTTGTAATCGTGGAACTATGCTTTAAACTCTATTCGAACACAAAGTCATTAATAATAATGGCTTTATTGCTCAACAGAAAACAATCCATTTACAGATCAATATATAGAAATATCAAAACAAAAATAATTACCTCAATTAAAAAACATGGATATGTCCTTTGGTACACAATTAAGACAGTTCGCAGTCAATATTGAGGTTATGCAAAGCTACCTCAAAGATATGCTTCTCAATTCATTCAGTCTACAGTTAAATATATCACATATATTTGACAAATTATTACATTTACAATTTCCCCATTACAGGGGAATTTTATGAATATAGGCCATCAGCTTTGAACACTAGGTATTTCAACGGTATTTTCTGTAAACCATCAACCGCCCAGCAATGACAAGAGTAGATCGTATTCCACGCAAGTGACGCGTTTATATAAGATTTACAATTACGCATAATTACGTTTAGTAAGAAGCTCGAGAATGACGTTTGAAATTCGAGATGAAAAATCAGTAATCCACTGCACTCTGCAAAGTAACGTACAGGAATTTAAGGAATACATTTTTAAATCATCCGCAAATAAATAGAGTTTGAGTATTGCTCAAAACTGAAACAACATCATCAATAAATATCAGAAACAAGAGCGCTCCTAAATCAGAACCCTGCGGCACCCCCGATTTCGTGACGTATTTATCAGATTCATATTCACTATAGTACACCTATTGTGTCCTGCCACTCGCATTATTTCTAAGAAACATTACAGCACCATCAGCAGCGTGACTAATTTTGTCAAAAGTTTTACTAAAATCGGTATATATGACATCTACCTGTCCTTGATTATCTAGTACTCTTGTTGTATACTCTGTAAACTGCACTAAATTAGTAACCGTAGATCAGAAGTCATAAAATTTATGCTGATTTGGTGAGATAATGTTCTTTACCGAGTTGAAAATACGGTCAAATGAAATATCGTCCAAATATTTTTGAAAAATTGCATAAAAATATTATTGATCTATTAATAATAATAATAATAATAATAATAAAGGTCTTTATTTCAATTATATACAATATAACAATAACAACATAACATTTTGGCAAAAAGGCGTGATTCAGTCTACTAAAGATTAGTATGCTATTCTATCTAACCCGATAAAGGGGAGAAGAAAAAAGTACATGAATTTCCATGTTATAAGTTGTAACTTATAAAATTATGTACGTCACAGCGATAGCTTATTTTATTGAAAAGGTATGGAGGGGACTTTCTACTTAGTATTTTTGAATATAGAACGGCAGAATGAAGAAATATTCTATTTTTCATATTTAGCCAATTAACTTTTTGAGTGTGTGTCGAATTTTCGGATCCCAAAAATCAACCTGAGACATGAGTTTTAAAGCTTTTGAATTCGGCGTTTATCAAAATAGTTTAAACAAGGGCCATACACTGCATCCCCGTAACTTAGTTGAGACAAAACCAGAGACCCACACAGCATTGTTCTATGCTTTCTGCTTAATGATTCATGATTTTGATATATAAAATTTAACATTAAATATGGATTTTGGTCACCCAATGAAAATCTCACCCTTTCGGCCAAAAATGAGTACTGCGGATTTGCTAGCATTTAATTGTAAACAATGCTTAGTGGACATCTCATAAACTATGTTCAAATCATAGTTTAGGGCTCCAACGGCTTGCTTAGCTTCACCGGGAAAAAAAGAAAGTTAAATTTGTGTATCGTCTGCATAATAATGATGACAACTTGACAACAGAATTTTTTTAAAACGAGAGCCATTTACAATAAAGAAAGGCAGTCCAAAAATAGATCGCTGAGGTACACCTTTATTAACATTTAAGAATGAAGAACATACACCATTATATGTTACCGCTTGAGATCGGTGTTGTTGGTATGATGCTAAAAGATTAATTGAGTCGTCTGACAAACCAAAAAAAATTTACATTGAAATAAAAATTTGATGATTAAGGGTATCAAACACTTTCGTATAGTCTAAAAGGGTTATGTTCAGCTTTATATCCTATATATATATATATATATTGAGTAACGAGGATAATCTTGTTATTATCTAAGTGAAACTGCATCTGCTCACATATAACCTTTTCCAAGATTTTTGAAAAGGTTGGTAAAATACTGACAGGGCGAATATTATCTAAGGTCGTTTGCAATTTTTGGTAACGGTCTGACGAGTGCCTTTTTTCACTGATCCGGGAAAATTGAATATTTTAAGCATAAGCATAAATTGCAATTGCAAATACCATCGCAACCTGCTGCCTTAGTCTTAATAGTCTTAATTATCGGCAATACATCAGTTTCAGTTACAGGGGTAAAAAAAAAAGTACGTGGGATTGAACTATTTTCTCCATTTGTATAATATGAAATTAAATCCTTATCAGGGGAATAAACATCATAAAGTGACTTTTTATACCCTCAACATTACATATACTTACATGACTTTTTTTATCACTTTTAAAAATAGGACAAACTCTTCATTCCTTCTAATATCGGTGATAAATTTCAGAAGAAAGCAGTAGATTAAATATCACCAGTAAATGTTTAGAGCCAGCACTAATACAATCTTTAACCAAAAAGATAGAATTCCATCAGGCCCTGAGATCATTTTATTTTTTTATTTCGTTGAAACTTTTACTATTTTATTAGGACTAGGATCCGGTGGAAGATACGCACTATTGAAAAAATTGAGAGGTACAACATTGTGGATTGGATACCACTAAATCAAGAAGCTTTTTCCTGTCATTTAGCACAGAATTGTATTGTTTAATGATCTAGCATGCGATTGATAATACAAGTTTTTTGATCATTGTTTATACCCTCGACATTACATATACTTACATGACTTTTTTCATCACTTTTAAAAATAGGACAAACTCTTCATTCCTTCTAATATTGGTGACAAATTTCAGAAGAAAGCAGTAGATTAAATATCACCAGTAAATGTTTAGAGCCAGCACTAATACAATCTTTAACCAAAAAGATGGAATTCCATCAGGCCCTGAGATCTTTTTATTTTTTTATTTCGTTGAAACTTTTACTATTTTATTAGGACTAGGATCCGGTGGAAGATACGCACTATTGAAAAAATTGAGGGATACAACATTGTGGATTGGATACTACTAAATTAAGAAGCTTTTCCCTGTCATTTAACACAGAATTGTATTGTTTAATGATCTAGCATGCGATTGATAATACAAGTTTTTTGATCATTGTCGTTATGGTTAACATATTCCCGAGCATTACAGTCACCCAAGCTGAACTGCTTCTAAAAATGCTACATAGCAATGGCTACGGAAGATGGTATGTACAATATTGCCATAATTAACGAATTATATTGTAGAGTGGCACTTACAAATTAGAAAATCAATGTTCGAAAAATGTTGATCAAACTAAGCAGTTTCGATGACTTCAGTTTCAATATCATTTCTAACCAAAAGAGTCAGCTCACTTCTACGTGTTTTGTCGATTGCTTTAACCTTGTGTCCGATGTAACCAATAAGATATGCACACTGACCTGACGAACTGAAAAATTCATCCATTCGTATTAAGATCCGCCCGCATTGTGATAATATAAAAAGAGTTTAGATTCAGTTGATCTGATTTTGTTTACCTCCATTAAACTACTACTGTAATGTTCCTTTTGCCGTTTATTTCTATCATAAGCCAGAGCTGCATTGTGGCCTTCCGGATGCCATTATGCGCGAAGTAACGAAAGCAAAATTTGGACTCATGATGACATGTTGATTACCTGTTACAATTTAATCGAGGGATTTATGGTTTACAGTATAGAGGGATTTTTCAAGGGTTTACAAGCACAAAAGGAATTACGAGCGTGTGCTCTTCGGTCTGCAGCATACCCCTGGTAATTAATCTCATTTAAAGTAAATTTTTGCCTACTCACCGTTTAAGTTGAGTTCAGTCGCAGCTTTGCTGTTGTCTCTCGCGTTCATCGCTGTATTGAATTCGGTACTGGTGGTACCGTACGAAACCGCCGAACCGGAACTTGCACTTCTACCACCGTTTATCTGTGCGACCGTAAGTTCCGAGTCCGGATGTAAATACTGATCACTATACCTGTCATTATAACGATCGCTATAACGTTCGCGGTAAGACGTACGGTGCTGATGAATGGAATTCAGAATTATATTCGAAGACGTTCGCGATAAGGCCTTTCGTTGTCTGATTGCTTCCTTGTAGATTCGGTAATACATGGTGATCATCACGACTCCCGGCACCCAGAAACTTATCGAACTAGATATTACCGCGTAATACCTATTTACAACAAACATACATTCGTCCGGGTTTGTTTCCACGTAGTCCAAATGTTCGTCGGTCGTATACCATCCGAGGAAGATTGGCATAAAGCTTATGAGCGCGGGTAATATCCAAACGTTTGCTAACATGATGGACACGGTTTTGTGAGTCATAGTGATGGGATATTCCAGAGGTCTGACTATAGCGTAATACCTGTCTACACTTATGCAGCACAAGTGCCAGATACTAGCGGTCGAGAAATAAACGTCCAGGCTGTTCCACACGTCACACATAAAAGGACCGAATTTCCATCCGCCAGTCAATTCTACACTCGCGTTGAACGTCATCGCGCACAATGCTACCAACATGTCCGCCATCGCCAAACTCACCACATAGTAATTCGTGATCACTCTCAATTTCCGATGCCGATGAACACTTATGATCACCAAAGCGTTACCTAATACGGCGCCGACTATTATGGAAGAGAATATAAAACCCTTGACGATCAGGAGTAGGAGATCGGTCCAGTGCGGATGAGGATTCTCCAATGTCGTTACATTGCTCTGGTTTTGATTGGTAATATTTTGAAATAGGCCGGTTATCACCGAAGGAGCGGCCGTCTGAGTGGCCGAATTTGACTCCATAGCCTTCACTATCATCGTGCAGATGCGACCTGCTGCTGTGGTTGGAGATGCTATGCGTCACATCTTGGTGCGATTTTCAACTCTGGAAAGAAAATCGGTTTCGTTAGAAGGCAATTTTTGAAACGCGGCGAGAACTACTTTTTCCTTATCGAACTGTTTCAAGTTTTGAAAATCAACTAAGTAATAGGTGTGAAATCTATTATCAGGCGAACAATATTGTGGAACTGCTAGCGGACACACAAGGTGTCACGCTGTATGCCCACAATCGCAATTGCAAAAACTCGTTTAAACTTAAATACGACCAGTCTAGCCAAATTTCTGAGTTGTGATATACAATACGTAGTTATGTGCCGGAAGCTAAAAATATTAATATTTGGTTTTTGTTTAATTTTTTTACGAATATTTTCGTAATTATTTTTGCGTAATTATAATAACTGAGAAGTCCAGTGAGTAGTTTTTCAACATTCTAAAAATTGGTTACTATTTATAACAGTGAGCGTCTTCTTGTATTTACATTTGTAATTAAATATTTAATGTTTTTTTTATTACTCTGAATTAAAACTCTCATTGTCTAAGAACTGCTTAACAAAGGTGTTAAATATAATTATGAATTTCAAGTAAAAATAACATATCTTCAATTTATTTTACCAATTCTGTTGCGTAAACCGGGCGTACTCTCACTTTTTGTTGTATCATTCAAAATTATTCGATACATACTATATTGATGGTTGATTGATTAAAGACAACTTTGCAATATTGGTTGTATAAAAATTACATACCTTTAGACCGGGTAAATTTCAGATACTGTAAGTAGTCCATATGGGACCGATAGAGGTGGGGGTGGTTTTGTTCTTCAAGTTTACTTGACACACTAGATTTGTTTCTACCTCGGAGTTAGGAAGTCATATATAGATAGATAAGGCATTAAGAATATAACGAAAAAGTTGGATAATAGGAGCGAGATTGGGATTATATTATTTTTATTTTTAAGGGATGACATTAAAAAGAAATCTATTGCCCCCAAATGTTGTTAAATAATTTTAATTTGTAGGTTAATGAAGTTCTTACTAAAAAAGAAAATACTTATTAATAAGATTTAATTATTTTTCAATCTAACCATGGAAGTAGGTTGATTATTTTCCCTTTGTATCACCTTCACCCAACTTAGAATTCAGCTGCCAAGAATGAGAAGCTATTTAAATGATTTTTTCGATTTTAGTTTCATGAGCGCTAATTATAGGATTTTGTGACATTTACGAGTGGCTAAGGAAAATATGAATAATTGATTACCCATCAATATTTCTGTATCCTACACCGTAAACTAGGGACAAAAGTTGCATGTAAAATTTGATACATTCAATAAACTTTTTACACTCTCTTAATAGCGTTTATTAACTTAAGTTGTTCGCTAAAAAAGATTCAAAATTGAGTTTTTTATTAAATATTTTCTAAAACATTCCACTAAATAACTTATGAGACGGGCCAGATAGAGAAAATGTATATAATCACTGACTTACTTCAAACGGATAAAGTTTTTGAAACACAAATCCACCCAAGCGTAAAGGAAAAGATTTCGCGAGCATCTGAAAATATAAAAAGCCGGCTTTCAATGTGATACGACGAGCTTATTGTTAACGGACACTTGCGATCCTTTCAATGTTTGTCGAACGATGTAGTGTGGGTATTTACGAAACGGTCATTCGACATTTTGAATTATAATAACATGTAACAAAAACTAAAAGGAAAATAGTGGAGATTAAATGATAATTAAGGAGGGTAGCTAATTAAGAACATTTTCAAAAAATACTTTAAGAAAACAGCTATATGTTTAACTTCATTATATTAGTGATATTCATAAAATTGAGTTTCTTACTACGAATTTAGGTAAAATATTCGTGTGCCTCATGCCCCTTGGTTTACATTACTCTTAGGGAAAAATTTCTAGAGCGGGATAGAGCACTTCAAAAATATAAAACTGAAAAAAACAGTTTCCAATGGGGATACCTATAACACCTTCGCAATTTTGCTTTATCCTCGTTGAGGCGTGAAAAAGCGGCGTATTTGAAGTTTGCCTGAAGGATACGTCGACTATGTCGAAACGTTTGAAATCTGCACATATTCTCACTCAACCAAGACCGAAGTTACCAGATAATGGAAAATTGTATAAACATTTTCTTGCGGCTTTTTGGGGTACACAGGCAGATGCCGAATTGATCAGTCGCTTTCAGACTACGCGGCCTAAGGCTTCTGAGTTTCACTTTCGTTTCCCTACAGCTGACGAAAAAAAGTCAGCTAACTATAGTTTTAATCAAATGCTTCAGGAATTGATGGAATTTCATTCTTAATGTCAAAACTGAGTTTATCCATACTACCCACACAGTAAAGTCATGCCTCAAGAATGGTTACCTTTCAGCCTGCTGGAAAACCGCTGTTGTATGTCCCATTCCTAAAGTAAGTTCTCCTGAATCGCTTAATAATCTAAGGCCAATTAGCTTACTACCTGGTTCTGGAGGGGGCTGTCTATTTACAGCTCTATGAATTTGTTAAAAATAATCCTATCTGTTTCTCAATCGGGTTTCCGTCCAGGGCACACTACTGCAACAGTTTTGTTAAATGTGACAGATCGAATTTTTCAGAGTTTAGGTGACAAATATGCGACCATACAAATTCTACTCGACTTTTCTCGAGCTTTAGCTCGAGAGACATGCTTTAGGGTGAAACTCAGGTGCTACTCTCTACTCTGCATTTTCTGAAAAGATTCACTTGCCCTTGTCGTTTGCTACCAACTCCAAAACTTTAGGAATAACGGTGGACGTATCATTCAAATTTGGTGAGCACATTTCAAATTTAAGTAAAAGAACTTACCTTTTACTTAAGACTGTATATGCCAATAAATATATATCGAACTGTGTGAGTCATATATTATGTCCGCATTGCATATTGTCTCATATTGTTTTACCCATGTTTAACACTCCTTGATAGTAGACGCCTTAAAAAAAGACTAAACAACTGTAGTAGGTTTGTGTATGGCTTAAGGAAATATGAGCACGTGTCCCCTAAAATTAAATTGTTGCAGTGGTTGAGAGCAGATAATGTATCAATTTATTTGAGTACCTAGTGGCGGAAGATGTTAAAGTCTTCTAGCCCTCTGTAGGAGCTAGTAAATATCTATAGGTAACAATTTTATGGTATTTTTTAGAATAAGAGGAATTTCAGTTTAAGATGCACATGTTTTTTCTCAATCCTATTCAAAAGTCAAAGCAATGATCGGCCTTGCAAACACTTGTCTATTAATTTATGACCGAAGACAAAGGTTCCTCCTAGGGCATGGTTTAAGTGACTTTTGAAGTAGGTATTGAGTTAAACAGATGTGTTTTACTTTTTAGAAAACCGAATTTTAGGACTTTAGTATCGTTAAGGATTTGGCAGGCATCGAAAGCCAATTTTTTCAGACGGGTTCTTTTTTACGATTTCGAGGCTTTGCTTGTAGAATTTATAACTTATCACTAATTATCTATCTTTGTTATTGTATATACTTTTTTACGTTACTTGTTTTTTTAATAATATGGTGAGTTTACTGAATTAGAGGGTTGTGTGTAAAAATACTGCCTTTTATTTCAACGAATCGACGTGTTGCTGAAACGGGTAGTTTTGGCGACGCGTTGTGAAACTTCTAATGTAAATATTAGCGACAATACACTAACTCTGCCTCAACACAGATCTTTTCTTTACGAGCGGGGGTTTACCTGTAATGCGGTTTAATCGTCATAGACACTTCTTTGCCTTGTCATCTTTAAAACTACTTCGGAAGTTCGGTGTTATATTAGATAAATAAAGTGCTGATTTGGTTTTTCGTCTTTTAATTAACCACAGAGCTATTTCTGTTATTACTTACTTTCTTTTTCTTTTGTTTTCATTTTATTTTCCCTTGCTACGGGTTATCTTGTTACAAATTGTATTTTCAGAAAGGTGTATAATATAATTGTGTTCAAGTCACGTCTATCACTAGTATAAGCTTTCTGAGAAGTTAGAATAACGCTTGGTCAGAGGAAATTTCACGCATGTTGGTATAAGTTTTATGCAACCCTGAAAAGCAATCTTATTTTGAAATTTTATTAAGTGTTCCGTATTAATTTGGGCCTCCGGTACCAATCATCTGCGCCATTTCCAATCAAAGATTTATCAAAACATTGAGTGGACCTACGATTTTGCCAGCGACTATGGTTTTTGCGATGCCAAGTTAAATTACCTTAGTGGTAGTAAATTGACAGGCATTGTGTGTGCGCAACATGGCATCAAATGGGAATTGAATATACGACGTTGGTCATTTAACAAAGGATACAATACGATAGAGTCGTATTAGGTCTAATTTAGCTAATGTCTTTACTTGTGCGTTGTGTGGGAATTCATACGTGATCATTTCCGATAATGTGCACTGGAATTATTGCGACAATGTGTTAATTAATCTTAAATTGGATCGTACATGCACGAATTTATTGTCGGGTAAGTGATTTAGTGCCGGCTGTCTGTTTGCTCTTGTCGACATCTGCGAGCAGAAATAATGTTTACATTGCGACGCATCGTAATGTCGAACGATCCAGATCGGCTATAGGGCAAACGGAACATAATCTGGATCACATTTAATCTACTCATATAAATTCGCGAAAAGCTTCTTCTACTGGTGGCGTGTGTCAAAATTGTGTTTATTAGTAGTTATTAATTATTATTATTTTTCATATATAGTAGCGCCAAGACAAATTTTATTTCCATTGACTTTAAACGAAGTATAGGATAATCTCATATAAAATGTGTTAAAATTAAATAGATAATTGATGCATAAGCTCGCATGCATTTTTTGCTAAATTATTTTTAAGTACACTTTTAAAGGCACTACTTTTTTGTATTGTTTTAACTTCAGTGGGAAGTTTATTATACAGTTTAAGTGGCAGAACTATCGGGCTATTTGCTACCTTAGCCTAGACAACATCAAATTTAAACTGACCCTAAAATCATATTGACCGTTGCTGGAGTGATGTGATATATTATTTATATGCATAATCGATGATAAAATATATAGAGACG